AAAAATAATTTAATAATATTTTAATGAAGAATATCTTAGCAAAATTTATTTATTCCTTTGTTGCTGTTGATGGAGGCCTTTCAATGGATTCTTTGCTTGGGTTTGTGGTTCTCGTTTGTAGTTAGTGCCTGCTTTCAGCCGTCGGTCTTTTGGTCGCCTACTTTCTTCTAGATTTGTTATTTTTGTTATTCCACCTTATTGACAAATATAATTTTTTATTTTTATTTTTTTCATTTTAAATGTGCCCTTTAAGATGTGGCAGATTCTATTGAGTAATAGTTTATTAACAAATTATAAAAAATATTAAGAAATTGTAATTTTTCCGAGCTTAAGATCATTCATTTTTAAGGTCAATAGGATAGCTAAATGAAGAAGAAGAAGAAGAATGATCAATAATTAAGGGGTCTAAACGAATCGTTCGATACAATATTTGTGAATTTTGACTTAGAGAAAAGGGAAGCGGGATTGAACAGAATTAGAAATCTGAATAACTCTATAATACTATTCATCAACAAACGGAGACAACGACCACCAATAGTTAGGCAATAGTGGGCAAGCAATTGCCCACTATTAAAAATTCACTATATAGAAGATGATATAAGAATCATTCATGTGAAGTCATTCATTCTTCACAATTGAAAACGATGATATTATTATTTGAGAACAAATATCTGATTTTTCATGTGGAGATTATCGAAAATAAGTATTCATAAATTGATCGTTAACACTCAACATAGTGAATTTATTATAGAGTTATTCAGTATTAGAGAGTTGTTTAGTTCTTTTAGCTTTTGGGCATCCCCATTTAGATAGAGAATGGGTGAAATTATTCTGTGCGGACACCATATGCATACAGAGGCAAATCAGAGTGCGCCGCATCATCCAGTTGTTGTGTATCGCGGCTGTGTACCCACTATGTACCAGGTGACGTAGCGCTATGATTCGCCTTTGGATGGTACGGTGTCTGCACAGAATAATTTATTGAGAATGAAGCTCTATTTATAAGCTTTTAGTAATTTGAATCAACATTCAAAACACTCCATCATATAGTCTATATTGATCCTCTTGCTTATCATTTTTTTTTTAGGATTTAAGTGCCTTAGTGATGTCAAACTTGAGTGAGCCTGAGCTTGAGCTTTTTTTACGATTCGTCTTGCCGAGCCACTCGATTCGATCATAAACATGTAAAATTTTGAGTTTAGATTATCATAATTTTATTTTAAAAGTTTTCAATTCAAAGATTGCCTTGAGTTTATACCGATCATATAAATTTTGTGTAGGTCTATCACTTCTCATGTACTTTTTTTTTGCTACATTCACATAAGGTCAAGTAAGCAATCAATTCTTCAAAAGTATTTCTTATCTAATTAAGGAAAGATTAGACTTTTATAATCTTCACACATATAATAGATTTTCTTAGTTGGATTAGGCCACATAGTTTTTCTCTTTTGAAAATTTCATATAAAATTTATTGTCTTTTGCAAGCTTCTCTTATCGGTCGTAGCAAAGCCTTCGCCTTCACAATTCCTCTCTCGTCTCATCTCCTTATGTCTGGCATGATAGCTCGCATGCAGGGGCATCGATGGGTCTAAGCAGTGCGAGAAGTCATCCACGGGCACAACAATTATGAGATCCCATTACGCTTATACGTGAGGGGATCGACGGGTTCAAGTGGCGGTTCCCATGAACTCAAAGGTGAGGGCATTTACAAGTTAGATGATTTGTATGGTAAGACTAGTTGGTAAAATTAAAATAATGATATATAATATAAATAATATAAATACTATAATTTAATATTAGTAATAATGTTTTAGGTGATACGTATTGCATATAAATTCCTCTAGAAAGCTATAACGACGGGGCAACAAAAAAGTAACTAATAAGTAATATCATTTCCCACTAACTAAAAGCACCAACCGTTTGTATAAATGCCCCAAGAGGTTACCTTCTCCTTCCACCACTCAAACCCTAGCTACACTCCCATTCCTGAATGGCGGACGGAGGAAGGAAATGGGAGGGAATGGACGTGGATTGCCTCTCAATCATCTTCTCGAAGCTCAGCCTCGACGATCTCACCGTCTCCATCCCCTTCGTCTGCCGCTCGTGGTCCGCGGCCGCCTGCGACCCCCTCTGCTGGAAGTTCCTCAACCTTCGATCCCTCAATTTCATGCCGTGGAGCAGTTTCGCGAGAAGGTTTACAGATCAGAATTCAGTTTCCCGATTCTCGTTTGCCGGATTTATGAAGCTCGCCGTTCGCCGGAGTGGCGGCGTGGCTACCGAGCTCCAGCTTCCGGAGCTGGGGTCTATGGAGGATTTGATCCTCGCATCAAATAAGTGAGGCCTCTTCCCAGGCTTATCAAATTTGGTTTCATTTCCGATTTGATTTCTGTAATTGAACTGTTAATTTTGACTGTTTCAGCAATTTTGAAGCACAGATAAGAGGTTTTATTTTGGATTTTTATCTTAAAATATTATCAGAAAAAAATTAATATAATTTTTTACATAAAAATTTGGCAAAATTAAAAATTTTAACCAATATCAAACCGAAATTAGGCAAAATAAATCTAAAGTCATCTATTTTGACACATTGTGATAAAAAAAATAAATAAAAAATAAAAAAAACCTAAACTGGTACTAATTATGATCCAAAATTTCATCTTTTTTATTCCATGCAGATGCCCAAGACTGAGAACATTGATTCTACCTAAACTAACTTCAGACAACGAGGCTGAAATCCCCAATCTTCTCTCCAAATGGAAAAACCTCCATCATCTCCAGTTCGAATCAAAGCCTTCAAATTTCTCTCATTTGGCATCTGTAATCAGCCAAAACTGCAAAGATTTCAAAGAATTATCGATCCAGAGTTCCTCTATCAAAAAAGAAGATGCATCAGCGATCATTAAAGATCTCCCAAAGCTGAGATCTTTGGATCTTAACAGATGTTTTCTGTCGAAGGAAGATCTGCTGATGATTTTGGAAGGTTGCAGAGAACTGGATAGATTGAATGTGAAGGACTGCATTGGATTTGAAGCAGAGGATGAGGAGGTTATCAGAAAGGGGTGCAGGATTAGGGTTTTGGAGCTGGAGGGATCGAAGATGGAAGATGAGAGAGGGTATGAGACTGATGAGTGTGATGATCAATATGTTCATGTGATTTGATCTGTGTTTTAATGGTAAGAAGATGAAGATGAGAGACTCTGTTGAAGGGAAAATTATTACGTCCTATGTCCGGATTTTTGTTCGGACATCAATTTAGACGTACCACGTCATCAAAATACATCGGGATCCAATGTATTCGGTTGATGTGGCTCATCTGAATTGGGTCACCGGACATAATAATTCGCCCTGTTGAAGGGTTTGTTTGTTCAGCCATTTTTTCAAACAGGAAGGGTGCTTTATCCCTGTCGGTGATATTGACAGTTTTTCTCAAAATCTGGGAAGAGAGGCAAATCTTTTCATTTTTCTAAAGCTGGCTGCCTTTTGATGAGAGGCAGAGATCCATAAACAAGTGATTATATGAATCATTTTGATCATATATATAGTTTACAGATCTTTTATGCATTTGAAATTGATAAGTGTATAAATTTAAGCTTCGTTTGTTTTATATTAAAAAACAACTTTACAAAACATTAAAAAGTTGTCCCAAATGAAACTTTAAACATGCAAGAGCTCAATTGCTTTGCTTTTTTTTTTTTTATGTGTATTGTAATCTTTCAGCCTTTATCAGCCATTAATGTTTCGTTTGAGACGGTTTTCTTACTGCTTCCTAAAACAGCTTCTTAGTATAAAATTTTCTAGTTTAAGAAATTTTTGTATTATAATGCTATTTTATAAAATATTAAGAAATCATCCCTAATGAAGCCTAAGGGCATGTCCAACCGAAAACCCCATTTTATACTCTTAAATGCAGTGAAATTTCAAATGGCGCAATTCATCTCCAATCGAACTTCATTTCTCTCCTCTTTCGTGAGCTTCCTGCGATGGTAATCATCTCTCTCCTCTTTCACGTGCTTCCTGCGAAGGTAATTATCTCTCTACTCTTTCGTGTGATTTTCTTCTCTTCTCCCGCTCTTCTTTGGTAGATTCGCAAGCGAGGGTTTTTTGTCGTATTTGAACAATCCGACATCAATATTGGTATCGCACTGTTCACCTACCAAATTTTGACGTGGAATTTAGAGTTCAAATGCAGCGAATGACAGATGGCATACGGTGATATACAGTTCGGTTGGAGATGATATAAGTGATTATGATAATTATTTTTTTATGATGGTTATTTTATTGCTTGGAATGCTTGTCTTACACACTTTTTTAATGATTATTACCATGGATCTATATTGAGTCAACAATTATATGATTGGGAGTAAATCTTTTAAATAGATAAAATTAATTATTTAAAAATTATTACATTATTTTTACAAGAGAAAATTTCCATGACTTCTATTAGTAAAATGTTTTCAAATAAGTAACTTCTTTTGCCCTTATCTTATGTTATAAGGGTTTGGTGGTAATTGATAAAATAATTTATTGATATAAGAGAGTGGTTAGTCAACAATACTGATAAACATATTATGTAAACTACTTAGAAAGTTAGCCCAAAGTTTGTATTCTAATCAATGATAAGGAAAATTTTCCTTTGCAACTAACATAAATTGTGTATTTACTTCTATTCAGTTTTAAAATCTTCAAATTGAAGGAGGAGGGCAATAAAGTTAAGAGTTTTGTAATTATTTTCATCAAAATATGTATAACATCAATTTATCAAAACATAATTTTCTAAAAGTTAAGGTGAAAAATTAAAATGTGTGAGTACTTATAGACTTATAGTGTTAAGAGACACATTTTGATCCATACCATTTTATGAATTTATGTATATTCAAGAAGTAACATATATAGAGCGATTAAGATACGTAGTTTATGACAAAAGAACATCATTAGAGAACATGCTGGTTGAAACATATTCAGAAGACTAATTTCTTTTAATTTTTATTTAGCAAATTATGCTTGAAACATTTTAGGTTTGAACGTTGTCTTTATTAGGGTTTCTCGAAGTTCGAGGAACAATATTAAGGCATCATAGATTTTACAACCCAATTCGATAAGACCCACAAAGAGACATGTCATATCATGTTGAATTGGGACAGATCGAGCCCAACATTAAAGTTTCAGGAACCTTTTATATTTCTTCAAGTTAAAATTGAAAACATATAATATTGCTTCTAATTACTTCCAATGAGCAGAAAATAAACTCATCCACAACTTCATTTCCTATCATCATCGAAATATATATACATCAAAATTTAAACACTACATTACATGGCTACAAATTAAAATAGAATAATAAACTAATTAAATAAATAGTCATGTATGTATAAAAATTTTAAAAAAATTACCTATATAGACTCAAACATATATGATCCTGAACAATCAACTACTCAAATTGCACTTTCTCCTTTCCCTAATGCATCATGGGTGTGAGCCAATATAGCTCAACAAATCACATTCGTCAATTGAAATGTCGAAATGTTTTATTTATTAAGCATTCAAATGGGTGTTACAAGCAGTTAATAATAATTCATTGTACATAATAGAATAAGACTTATAGTTATCATAAAGTTAAATGACAATACCATAAAAGTAAATAAACAAGTACCCCATATATCATAACAAAAAATAAATAGAGTTCCCTCAAGCCCTTGTACCACTCAAGCCCTTGTACCACCCATAAAAAATAGACCCTTATAACTCCCTCTGCTAGCACGTATCATATATTCATAAATTTAGGCACTTATGATTGGCTGTGCAATTAGTATCTGAACAAAACTTTCTTCACACATCAGATCTACTTAGAATCACACATTTCAAACAAATGAATATATAATTCATCGTAGTACAGTGAAATAAATGTAAATAAACCAATTTCATAAATTAATATAATGCTTAATCAGCAAACAACATATTCAACCACTGAGCAGAATTTTATAGGAGAGTCATTTAATTATTGAGTAATTATACTTTTTACCTTCTACTAAACAATATGTTTATCTACTTGAGTATGAAAGAGTTTTCAACTTATGAGTTGCACTTATTCAACTTCTAGAGTCTGAGATCCTAATGGATCATCAAGAGAGCAGTATCAATATGCTCTTTAGTTTTAATATCAGATTCTTCATTTTTATTGAAGAATTCCATTAAATTACTATCATTTTCTTTTTATAATTCTAATATAATAAAGACAAAATATAATACCCCATTAGGAAATCTCCAATTAAAAACTCTATTTCTAACATCAAAATACTAACAGTCATATCAAACAGTCATTCATCTCCAACCGAACTTCATTTCTAACACCGAAAAAGAATATTCTATATATATTCTTCCTCGTCTCCAACCAAAAATTTTATTTCCAACACAAAAAATAGGGTCCGGTTCTGTGAATAGTGTGATGTCGATAATGGCTCTGCACTATTCACAGATGAGATAAAACACAAAAAAGTATTTTGATTTGCCATTCGGGTTTGGTGAAGACTCGTGAGAACTGCAAACGGGAGAATTATGTTCGGTTGGAGATGCCCTTACGCTTAAAATACTTAATAATGCTATAGAAACAAATTAATACTTCTCTAACACTATTAAATATTTTTTTAGCCATAACTTTGCTTATATCACATATAATTAACTAATATGGAAATAATCTTAACAAGTTTCAAAAAAAAAAAACTTTTAGAAAAAAATAGTAATTTACTTTGTAAATAATTTGATTTTCCAAAATTTAAATATTTTTTTACCTATATATTAATCCTAGTCAATAGTGGGGTCCACGCACATTTTAACACGTGGCGTTCTCTGATTCCTGTGTGACATTTGAATTTTGTACGTGCATGGACTGTTAGGTGGCAAGATCGAACTAACTTCTTAGATTTGATATAATATTATCTTATTATGAAAGTCAAATAGAATTTCTTAAAGCTCACACCAACATTTCAAAAGTTTAATGTGATTGCTTGGAAATAAGTGAAAATACATTATAATTAATCTGTCAAAGTTTTCCTCTTAGATTAAACAAACCAAAAAAATGTGCAATTCGTTTTTTTTTTTATAAGAATTTGAATTATATGTATGATAATATATAAAGTCTTTATCCTGTTACGTGGGGCCGGCTATATTATATTTTTTTTGTATTATATCATGTTAAGAGTCAAATTCTCTTTTAAATCTAAAGAAAATGATCATTTTTAATATTTTCTAACCAAATCTTTTTATGTCTATCAGTACTACCTTTCTTAATATGTCAAGTCCTTGGAAGGCCAGTGTTTTATGTGACATAAATCTTATCTGCTACTGGAGCTACTCCAACTTTTTCATGTATAGACTTGTTTCAGATTCTATCTCTAAGATTACTGAAGCAACTATCCACTTGAGCATCCTCATATTTGGAATACTTAGCTTAATTTCATGTTTCTCTTTTAATGGACAACATTCTGCACTATAAAGCATTGTACGTCTCATGACCATCTTATAGAATTTTTCTCTAAGTTTGAGGATTTTTTTTTTTTTTATCACACAATAGGCTCAATGCATTCCTCCTCTTCAACATTTCAACAGTCCAAGTTGAATTATAGTAATAATATCTCCATCTACTTCACCATTGTTTTGAACAATGGACTCATGATATCAAGAACTTGTACTCTTATTAATGACTTGATCACCCAAAGTCATAATCCCCCTACTAGATCTATTACTACTAAAAATTGAATTCCATATATTCGATTTTAGATTTATTCAAACAAAAAACCTTTAGATTCTAAGATTGACCTCCATAATTTAATTTTGTTTTCAACTTCGAGTCTTATCAACACGAAGAATATAATCAACAAAAAACATACAATAGGTACATCCTCTTATAAATGTCCAGTATGAACATGTGTGACTAACAAAAAGAGATATGGGCTTAAAGTTGATCCTTGACGTAATCTAACTTAAATTAAAAAAAAAAATTTTTGATCAAATCACCTTGTGTTTGAATACAAGTAACAAGTCTTACATACATATCTTTAATGATTTGAATATAAGATTATTAACCACTTATTATTATATGTGTTAGAAATTTTGAATATGAATTGAGCTTCTTAACGAGTTTGTTATCGAACATATTCACGAGCTCCAAATGATATTATTTATGAACATAATCGAGTTGAACAAATAGCAGTTCAAACTCGTTGATTTAACAATCAAGAATTTAAGAAAGTGTTCAAGATTGTTTGATTAGTAAATGAAATGACCATCAACCAGCTACAAGCCTACAATCGAGCCGAGTTTTGAATAGCTTGTCAAGCGTTTAGTTCATTTAAGACCTTAACGACAAACACATTACTAAGTTAAATCAATCCAAATTAAATGATTGTGCTAAATGATTATTAAAAATTAACCAATTTTGGTTAATAAAATACTAAGATGTGTAGACAAGAAAAGGAAAAAAAAAACAAACGTAAAAAAGAAGATCAAACCAGAAGAGCTTAAACATGGATTCTATTCAAGGATGAATCCAAAAAAACAGCTTTAGA